CTGTATGTATAGATCATATCTTGCTTTTCCATTCATCAATTGATAGATGTTTGGATTGTTTCCACCTTTCAGATTGTGTGAGTGCTGTTATAAACATTTGTGCACAAGTTTTTATGTGAGCATATGTTTTCATTTCTCTTGAGTAAATACCTAGGAGTGGAATTGCTGGGTCATATAGTAATTTATGTTTGACTGTTTTAGGAACTGCCTATCTATTTTCCAAAGTGGCTTCATCATTTTGCATTTCCACTTGCAGTGTATGAGGTTTACAATTCCTCTACATTCCCATAAACATTTGTTATAATTTGATTTTTGATTTTATCTATCCTTATTAGTGCAAAGTTGTGTCTCATTATGGTTTTGATTTGCATTTCCCTGAGGACTAATTATGCTGAATTTCTTTTGATGTGCTTATTGGCAATTTGAATATCTGCTTTGGAGACATTCTTTATGTATTCTAAATTCAAGGCCCTTATCAGATATGTAATTTGCAAATATTTTTCCCATTCTTTGGGTTATCTTTTTACTTTCTTGGTAGTATCCTTTGAAGCATAAAAGGTTTTAATTTTTAAGAAGTCCAATATATCTATTTTTTCTTTTGTTTCTCATGCTTTTGATATTATGGCTAAGAAGCCAATGCAAAATCTGATGTCATTAAGATTTATCCCTATGTTTTATTATAAGAGCTTTACAGGTATTTTTAGGCTTTCAAACCATTTTGAGTTAATTTTTGTATATTGTGTGAAGTAGGGGTTCAACTTCATTGTTTTCTGGGGGTGGCTATCCAGTTGTTTCAGCATTATTTGTTGAAAAGATGCTTCTTTCCTCATAATCACACTTGTTGAAAATCAGTTGACCACGACCACAGATACATGAGCTTGTTTCTGGACTCTCTCTTTTCCACTGGTCTATAGGTCTATCCTGTTCCAGTACCATATTACCTTGATTGCTGTGGATTTGTAGTAAGCTTTTATTTTTATTTTATTTATTTATTTTTAGAGATGAGATTTCACTATGTTCACCAGGATAACCTCAAACTCCTGTCCTCAAGCAATCCTCCCATCTCAGCCTCCCAAAGTGGTTGGATTATGGGTGTGAGCCATTGCGCCCAGCCAGTAGTAAGGTTTGAAAGAAAAACCTGTGTTATCTTACTTTATTTTTCAGGATTGTTTTGGCTCTTCTGGGTCCTTCATATTTCCACATGAATGTTAAGATCAGCTTGTCAATATCTACAAAAAAGTAGGTTGGGATTCTGATAAGGATTGTGTTGGATCTGTAGACCAATTTGGGGGAATAATGCCATCTTAACAATTTTAAATCTTCCAGTCCATGAAAATGGGAAAATTCTCAATTTATTTACATCTTCTTTCATTTCTTTCAACTTTTTTTGACAGTTTTCAGAGTATAAATTTGCACTTCTTTTGTTAAATTTATTTTTATTTTTAGTGTTCATTACAAGTGTGTGGAAATGTAATAGATTTTTGTATATTGAACTGTATTCTAAAGCTTGCTGAACTTGCTCAGTAGTTTGAATAGTTTTTTAGTGGGTTCCTTAGGATTTTCTATATACAAGAACATGTCATTTGTGAATAGAGATAGTTTAACTTCATCCTTTCCAACTTGGATTGTTTTTATTACTTAATTGTCCTGACTAAAAATTTTGGTACAATGTTGAGTAGAAATGGTTACAGGAGACATCCTTATCTTATTCTTCATCTAATAGGGACAGCTTCTAACCATCCTCATTAATTATGACAGTGGCTGTGGGTTTTTGCTAAATATAATGTTAGCTGTGGGTTTTGCATCCATGTGCTTTATCAGGTTGATAAAGTTCCCTACTATTCCTAGTTTTTTTAGTACTTTTTTAAATAGAAGAATTTTAGATTTTACCAAATTCTTTTTATCATCTTGAGAGGATTATGTGGTTTCTTTATTTTATTTTATTGATATTGTGTTGTATTAAATTAATTGACATTCAGATGTTAAACCAACCTTGTATTTGTGGGATAAATCCCACGTGGTCAACATGAATAATGCTTTTTTTATGTTGCTGGTTTCAGTTTACTAGTATTTTCTTAAGGGATTTTTGTGTCCATACACATAAGATATATTTGGTCTGTGTTTTTTTCCTGTGATATCTTTGTCTGGTTTCGATATCAGGGTAATTTTTTGTTACCAATTTAATCTATTTAGTTGTTATAGGTATCTTGAAATGCTCTATTATTTTTGGGCCAGTTTTGGTAATTTTTGTATCTTCTAGGAATTTGTCTTTTTCATCATATAAACCTAGTTTATAGGCACACATTTTTTCATAGTATTCTTTAATATTTCTTTTTATTTCTGTAGGGTTACTTATAATATTCCTTCTTTCATTTCTGATTCTAGTAATTTGAGTTTCCTTTTTCAATATTCAGTTCAGCTAAATAAACAAACTTGGGAAATTTTCAACTATTCTTTCTTTGAATATTTTTTCTGCTGTTTTCTCTTTCTCCTCTCCTTCTGCTATCCCTATTACATGTATGTGGTGTGCTTAATGATGGCCTATGTTTCTCTGAGGCTCTGTTCATTTTTTAAATGTTATTTTCATTTAATTTTTCTCTGTTCTTCAGATTCCATAATTTACATTAATCTATTTCAAATTTGCTAAATCTCCTTCTTAAAATCTACTGTTAATTCCCTCTAGGGCAATTTTTCTTTCAATTGTTATACTTTTGAATAAGAAAATTTCCATTTGGTTCTTTTTAATAATTTCTATCTCTTTATTGATATCTCTTATTTGATGCAACATTATCATCTTACTTTCCTGTACTTATTTAATCATGGTTTGTTTAATCACATTTCTTTGAACATATTTGTAATGGTTACATCAAAGGCTTTGCCTGTTAAGTTTGACATCTGGTGGTCATAACAAGCAGTTTCTGATACCTTTTTTTTGGTTTGTTTTTGGTCTATGTGTCATATTTTTCTGTTCTATTGCATGTCTCACTGTTTTCGAAACTGGACATTTTACATAATATATTGTAGAAACTCTGGATATTGATCCCCCTCACAACCACCAAGGCTTGTTATTGTCATCTGCTTGTTCAGTTGTTGAGTGACTGGACGGATTATTTTGGTGCAGTTGATTCCTTTTCTTTGCCATGGGGTGTAGACTTTGACAGGGAAAAGGGAGGTTTTGGTTCAAATATCAGATTTTTACTTTTCTTCTCCAGTTTTAGTAGTTTAAAAATTATTTCTTCATTTATGATATGCCCTTAATACTATTTCCAGAGACTCTAAATATTTTTTAAAAATGATTTTCACCAGTTTCCATGGAGTGGGCCCTTGGAACTTCTTGTGCTGTTATGCCACCCATAATGGTCTATTTCAGTTGTTTTAAGCTGTCAAATTTGTATCCATTAGTTACACCAACTACAATAAACTAATACATAGCTAAGTATTTTAAAAATATATATATACATTTTTATTTATTAAGAAATGGCATAAGTTTGGTACACTTCTGACTCAGAATATTTGAATGTTAATAAGGATATTGAACTCATTCACAGTATTCTCCCTCTAAACAGCTGTCATGCACTCCTACACCTCCACTCTAACTAGAGACTTCTTATTAAGAAGAAGGCAAAGCCATAAACCCAAAGGGTTCTGAGAAGAGTCTACCGGGGTTCCAGGACCCATATCCTGGAAGACAAGCCCATTAACCTTTTAGAGGCTCAATTTCCTCATCTGATAAGGTAGGGCGTGGACCATGTGGTAGATGAACATATTTTATTTTCAACCTGCTTAGCATTTGTTCCATTGGGTTGACTGCTTATCTCTCATGGCATCTCATCTCCCTAGCAACAATGAATAAAATGTTGACAACAAGGCATACAAAAGGCTAATATGGATAGTTCCCTAGAACTCATTTGTGAAGGTTGGTAGGAAGAAGTTCTCTTTCCACATTGGTTGTAAGATGGGGGAATGAATATCAACACTTTCTGCATTTATTTTCACTATCGTATACTGAAGGTTGTTATGCAGCAGGAAAGAACAAAGCCATGAAGAGATCAGACAATGTCAGAGAGCCGCAATCTTGGTAACACTAAGCCCTAAATCCAATGCTTTAGTCCCTGGTTCCAAAAGTTCTGCCTTGAATACTGTGAGTAACCCAGAATTCTCTACAGGTACAGAATCAATCAACTCATATTTTTGGTTGAAATTAATGCATTTGACCTTCTCTCTTGTAAGTAAATGTTCTTCACTAATATAGAGCATACTGGACTGGGTCCAGACAACCCCACCTCTTTATTCCCTACTACGTACACTCCTGAAATCTCCCTGAGTTAGGTTCCTCATCTGTACAGTGAGTACAAGCATCCAGCAATTCAAATGTTGCTATGTAGAGAATATAGATGAAATGTTTGGAATATAGTAGATGCCCAATAAATGTTAGCATTATTGTATGACCAATTTAATAATTTCTCAGACTGGATATTGCCCAAAGTTCACAGGGCACCACAAGTAGCAAAACACTAAGAAAAAGGCTTTGGATGCAGAAAACATAGATTTGTACTTGCAGTTCAACACACTACAACACATTGTGGGATGTGGGACCTTTATTATTCTTGTAGCCCTTAGGACATTGTTGATTTAAGCAAATTGGCTTAGCAAAGAGATGTTTTCTTTCACATTATTAGAAGTCCAGAGGTGAGATTGGAACAAGGAGCATTATGGTTGTGCATATTGTCAAATCTACACTGGTTACATATCTGCATTCATCTAGACTTTTTCTCAACCTTATTCCCCTCATAGTCATAAGATGCCTGCTTAAAGAACCTGGAGCAACACAATTTCTTGTTTCCAGCCAAGAAGGGGAAGAATTACTTTAGATTACCAGATTTCTCTGCAAGCCTGTATTTTTCTCGGATAGACCCAAACTGGCCAAGTTCATCCCATATTTGAGTAAACCTCTAGCAGGGAACATGGCATTATACTAGTTGGCTTAGGTTAGTCATAGGGGGTGGGTTGAATATTGAGAAATCAACCAAAATAGCTCTCATCACTCATCACTCAACCTTTTGAGTCTTTTTTTCTTCCTGTAAAATACCTAACTCACAGTTTGCTGAGAGAATTAAAAAGACCAAATGTATGTTGTACCTTCAATAATATTTGGCACATAACAATTGTTGAATGCATAGACAACGTAACAGCTGAGATGATATTATACTCCAGGGAGTATGAGATATAGGAGACATACTCACCAGTAACAAACACCTGAGTGCCCTGACCTGATTGGTACTCCTCGGTAGCTTTCCCTTTTATGAACTTCACGCAATAATAGGTGCCAGCATCAGCAAGAGAGATTTCATGGATGCGGATGGAAAAGTCTGTGTTGCCAGGCTTGTTGGTGTCTCCAATCTCTTTTACTCTGGGAAAGTGACCTTGTTTGAAATTGTAGATTAATTTCCGGTTTGGCCCTGTTCCCTTGAACCACAAGACAGGTCCATTTGGTAAGGTATCTGGTACGCTGCAACTCAAGATGATTGACTCCCCAGTTGATACAGTCTGTGACATCTCTGTTTGCTGCACATGGAACATATGTGTGGCTCCTGGAAAGAAACTGAAAATCATTTCTCATTTCCCCTTCTCTGGCTTAAGCATGGGTACAGGTCATGGTTGGGCCTCATTCATTAATTCTTTTAACGACATGCATAAATGCCCGTGCACTGAGTAAAGAGAGGCCTTTGCACGTGGAGGCAGCTTCTCTCCAGAGTGCTGAAGGAGGGGAGTTAGTCCAGAGGACCAGATGTATTCCTCCTCGGTTCCATTCCTCAGCCCTCAACCACGGTAACAGGAGGACAGGGAGGGAGAAGGAGGAATTATCAATGGGTAATGTTCATGGAGAAAGACTAGCTCCCCTATCCATCTAATTGCCTAGAGTCACTCGGTACATTTGGAACTGGGTTCAAGTCCTGTCCCTCAACCTCACATCTCCACTGAGTTTGGGATTGGCCTTCCTCTCTCCTCTGAAGGGTGATTATTCTCTGAATTTGTAGAGAAGTTCATGCTGAGAGATGTGGAGAAGTTAAAACAATTAAAGAATGAGGTGGTCATGGCAACAGCATGTAGTTCCACTGCTTATCTCTTCAAGAGAAAGAAGGGAGAGGGTTTCCTCTCCTCAACAAAAAGAGATTAGAACCTCAAGGGCCCTCTACAGTTTTGGAGGTTCTAACCGGCCACCCTTTACCCTCCTACACAGTCATCATCACTACCCTACAATGTGTCAGGTCCTGGTGATAATCTCTCCTATTAAGCTTGGTTGTCAAAACCACAGACTGCCTAAGGAGCAGGTTAGAGAGAAAGGGAACTCCTGGTTGGTAAGGCCAGGAGGTAGTGTGGGAAAGCAGTCTGCATTGACATTATGTAACTTAAGGGAAACCTGTGAATTTTCCATTGCCATTTGGGCATTATGGAATGTGTCTGGATTCAAGGGAAACATTACTGGGAAGGTCAGTTCTCCTGGAAGAATAGAGGGACACCTAATATCACTGTATTTCATGACGTTAATTCAGGGGTGGTGAGGAGAAGGAATTACTGGTTATCCTGGGAATAAAAATACTTGGAATGAAAGAACAGTGGGGCTGGGCGTGGAAGTCTCAGGACAGACCTGGGAAAACTCAAGTGTCAGGGAATGACTCAATCCCTCTGGGAAGGCTTTCGGCAAAAAAGACTTTGGAGAGATCGATACACAAGACCCCTCCTTCTGGTCTGAGAATTCCCCAACAGTGCCAGGCCATGGTAGGAGATCACATCCACTCATTGACTCGTATGGGGAATGGGAATGTGATCTCAGACTGGACTGTAGTGACCACTCAGGTACTTGCTATCAGGCCCCAATCACATTCCAGTTGGTAATGGGAAGGTGAGTGGGATCATGGAGGCATATAGGGAGTCTACCTGCCTGAAGAGCCCTTTGTTTTGGCCCAGGAGATACTGGGCATTTTGGGGAAAACTTCACCTATGTTGATATTCCATCAGAAGCTAAGATGTGGCTGCTAGCATCTGTGACTGGAAGTTTGGGGTCATGAAATAAGTCATAATATACGCAATGCATATACCTGGGCCCAGGTTTCTTCCTAGAACCTTAGAAGTCAGTCAGCCCTCTAGGGCCCAGTTTTCTTACCATTTAGGCCATGCAGTGCACACATGTAGTTGCACTTTGCATACCCAGTATCTTTTTATTTTTAAGTGTCTCCTATGTCATGGGTTCTGGTGGGGTTGGCATCAGAGAAGGATGTGGCTTGTCAACATAGCTTGATTCAATATTTGGCACAGGTTGTCCAGAATGGCTTACTAGAAAGGCCATTGGTAGAAACCTAGTTTACAGGGTAGTTTGTGGATAAAGGAGCACAGCATTCAGTATGTAGTGATGATTTGGTACACGGTGAAGGATTTTAAAGATTCATCTTCATAAACCCAGGGAACAAAGTTCATCAGGCTGTGCTCACCATTCACATACACGATGGTGCCTGGACCAGAGAAAAACTCCATGTCAGGGTGTCCTACCCTTAACTTCACACAGTAGTAGGTGCCAGCATCCTCTGGCAACACGTCACGGATGCGAATGGAATAGTCAGTTTGATCGACCATTGTGTTTTCCACCGGAGTTACTCTGGGGAAGTGGCTTCCATTGAAACTATAGATTAATTGTTGTCCTGGCCCAGTGCTCTTGAACCACAAGACAGGCCCTTCTGGGGACAGAGCAGACATATTGCAGGCCAGGGTTAGGACATCTCCAGGATTGACTGACACTAAAGTCTGAGGCTGGTTCACCTGGAACTCTTCATCTGAAGTTCCTGGAAAGAAACGTGGAATCATCTCTCATGTTCTCTGTCTTGGCTCAAGATGCTCTGAGGGTCTGGTTATAGGTCAAGGTGGGATCTCAATATGGTAGTTTTATTTCAGCATCATGTGATGGCACCAGTCATATAAAAATTACAATGCTGGGTGCCATGTGAGGTGAAGGGGAGGGTATCAGTGTACAAATAGGAGAATGGCGCTTTCCTTCTGCATTGGGGCATGAGGATGGCCTGCAATATATTAGGCACTAAATAAACATATTTTAAATAAATGTATGAATATATTTTTATTAAATGAGAATATGCAAAATGTAATTTGGGTCAGATTCTTCTAATTGTCTCAGAATCAGGGATACGGCCCCAGCTAAGGACAGTACGTTGATAATCAACATACTGCATACGGAGTGCATATGGAGTGACCTGCATATGGAGGCAGCTCCCTCCAATACCAGGTCTTCTACGGTGTGAAAGGCCACTCATTCACCTCTCCCAGAGTAAACACTGAGGCATGCATTCTCAGCGAAGTTACCATTTTCCATAAAAGGTGACAATTGGTTTTTGGAGTATGGGAATATCTTAGATGTTACAATGGTTGGTTTGTCAATGCTCAATCCTACCCAATAAAATCTTATTCCTTACTAGTTAATTGCTCTTGTCACGTGTTCTTGGGTATCACACAAGCCACACTGACATTGAGTTCATGGCAGATACACAAAATGTCTCCAAGAGAAGTTCTACAAAATTGCAGTGTTATTCATGATAGCCAAAATATAGAAACAACTGAAGTGCCTATCAATGTATAAATGAATAAAAAATGTGATTACACACACACACACACACACACACACAGTGGAACACTATTTATCCTTTAAAAATCAGAAAATTCTGTCACTTATGACACCATGGATATTATGGTGTGAAATAAGCCAGGTACAGAAAGACAAATACTGCATGATCTTGCTTATATGTGGAATCTCGCTTATATGTGGAATCCAAAAAAGTCAAACTCAAAGAAGTAAAGAATAGAATGTGGTTACCAGGGTCTGGGGTGGTGGGGAGTTGGACAAGGAAATGGGAGATGCTGGTCAAAGCCTATAAAGTAGTTAGACACGAGGAATAGGTTCTGATGATCTATTGCACAGCATGGTGATTATAGTTAATGCATACTTCAAAATAGCTAAAAAAGTAGATTTTAAAAGTTCTTACCACAAAAAAGTGATAAGTATGTGAGGTGATGGATATGTTAATTAGCCTGATTTGATCATTTCACTGTATATACATGTATAAGAACATCACATTATACGACATAAATATATACAATTGTTATTTGTCAATTAAAACCAAAATAATATTTAAAAAACCACCAAGTTGTACACCTTTAAAAACAAATAAGTTCTACAAAACAATAGAGGACTTTATTTTTGTATGGTTTTACAATCTTACTAAGTGTATTCCTTTTCTATTGCTGAATAACAAATTACCACAAACTTAGTGGTTGAAAACAACACATATTAATTACTTCACAGTTTCTGTCAATTTGTAATTCAGATATGGCTTAGCTGGGTTCTCTGCTTCGAGGTCTCACCAAGCTCCACTCAAGGTGTCAGGTGGGCCGTATTCTTATCTGGGGGTTTGACTGGGGAAGTGTTCATTCTAAGTTCACTCAGGTTGTTGGTAGAATTCAGGTATTTGTGGTTGTAGGACTGAGGCCTTCAACTTCTAGGGGCTTCCCTCAGTTCCTTGCCACGTGGGCCTTCTCACAGGCAGTTTTCAACACGGTTCCTTGCTTCTTTAAGGCCAGAAGTTGCAAGAAAAACTCTAGTGTGATAGATCTTATACAACCTAACATACTCGAGGGGGTGACAGTGCATCACTTTGGTCATATTCTATCAGATAGAAGCATGTTACACACAACACACAGATAGAAGCATGTTACCTGAACAAAGAGATTTGCAACAGACATGGCCACTGGGAGATTTTGTCAGAATTGGGGGCCATCCCAGTGTAGTCTTACATAAAAGTGGGATAGTTGGGAGTCACCTTACAGTCTGTGTACCACACCCAATAAGTACAGTTAAAAATTCAAGTGAGTTTTACTAGCTTTAAATGTCTTAAGTTAGCTTTTACCTAAATATTTTTAGTCATCCTTAACTCTGCATTGAATTAAAAGAGCAAGCTTTATACTTACCCTTCCTATGTATAAAGCACAGACAGATATAAATGCAGTACATAAACCAACAAAGAATATATCTAAGTTATTAAAATTTCATGTTGAGGCTATTATGAGTTGAATTGTACGCCTCTGAAATATACGTTGAGGTCTTAACCCCTGGTAGCTCAGAATGTGACCTTACTTGGAAATAGAGTTATTACAGAGAAAATCAAGTTAAAATGAGGTCATTGAGGTGGGTGCTAATCCAATATGGTGCTTGTTTTTATATGAAGTGAAAATTTAAACACAGAGACAGACATACACAGGAGTAAGATGATGTGAGGATACAGGGAGGGTGGTGCCACCTGCCATCCAACAAATGTTTGAGGCTACCACTGCCAGAAGCTCAGAGAGAGAGACATAGAACACAGTCCTCAGAAAGAACCAACCCTGCCCACACTTCGATTTTGAGTGTCTAGTCTCCAGACCTGTGAGAAAATTATTTTCTGTAATTTAAACCACCCAGTTTGCAGTACTTTTTAAGAGTAACCAAATACAGTGGCAACAGAGAAATAAAAAACTGAATTTCACAGAAAGAAGTGTAAAACATGCCAGGGGCCAGGCGTGGTGGCTCATGCCTATAATCCCAGCACTTTGGCAGGCTGAGGCGGGTGGAACTCTTGAGCTCAGAAGTTTGCGACCAGCCTGGGCATCATAGTGAAACCCCATCCCTACAAAAAAAGACAAAAATTAGCTGAGTTTGGTGGCACGTGCCTGTAGTCCCAGCTACTTGGGAGGTGGAGGCATGAGAATCACTTGAGCCCAGGAGGTGGAGGTTGTAGTGAGCCAAGATCGCACCACTGCACTCCAGCCTAGGTGACAGAGTGAGACCCTGTCTCAAAAAAATAAATAAAAATAAAATAAAATAAATTACACATCCTTTGATTCCAGAGGCTGGAGGGTGAGAGCTGTGATGGGTGCTGTGCCCAGCCCTGTGACCATAGGTGTGAGTCCTTTACCTGAACAAAGAGATTTGCAACAGACATGGCCATTGGGAGATTTTGTCAGAATTGGGGGCCATCCCAGTGTAGTCTTCTGAGTTCTGCCTGTTCTGGGATAAGATGGAGAAAACTCTCCCAAAGGAAATTTTATGGGAACAGGTGAGGGAGGGTTCACTAAACAGGAAGAGGGGAGAACCCACCACACACACACACACTGAGGCCCCACTCACCTGCCAGTTCAAGCAGCAGATACAGCAGTAAGGAAGGCAGAGGTGGGTGGAGTGGGGAGGCAGGGATGGGCATTGTGGTGAAACCTGGAGCTTGCTCTGCCTGAATGTCTGTCCTGGAGACGCCCTTGACTCAGTTCTCTGAGCAGAGAGGACAGTTCTTGCCTCTGTGATGTCAGAGGAAGGGGATTGTGATGAGAGGAAAGGTCAGGGGACTGGGACACTTTTTCCTTTGTGATTATAAAATTGAACAGACAAGGTTGCTTCAAGCTAAGAAGTTGCTGCTGGAAATATTTAGCATTGCTGGGACTGGGAGTCTTGACACCGACAGACTTATACTCCTTCCTGAGTTTTATCCCATCTCAGAGGTTCTCCCCAACGTCATGGCCTTTGCCTATCTAGGAGCCTCAGACACACAGGCTGGACCAAGGCCGCAACCTCATGATGGGCATGTGTGGGTCTAGCTCCTGCATGAGCTCAACATCTGGGCCTCTCTGAGCTGCACAGCTGAAGAAAGAGACAAGATATCTATAGCCTCACCCACTTGATAAGAGTTGAACTTTACAATGGATGCCCTTTCTTCCACTTCAGAGTTGTCAGAGGCAAAAAACAAGTAATATCTGCTGTGGGCTCTTGGCTTTTCTGTAGGTCCCTCCATACACTACTAGGAACTGCTTCCTTTTTCCTTCCTGAAGAGGAATCAGGCGTGGCTGAGAAAGATATTCAAGTTGTGGAGGTGATGATGATTTGTGCTCTAGAGGATGGACAGGGCCTGCAGGGAAGGCGGAGCTGTGGGGAACGCTCTCTAGGAGGGAGAGTAACATGCCTACAAACACCTGGGAAGGTGAGGGCTGCCTCTCCTGCTTGGGCTGGACTTGGGACCATCTCTCAGGGATGGGATTGGAGGGACAGAACAGAAGAAATGCTCCCAGAAAGAGGGAGGAAGCAGCATGTTGACATCCTTCTCTCTCAGCTCTGCAATGGGTTCTCCCTAAGCACAAAGGTTGTGTTCAGGGACCCTCAGCCCACATTCAGCTGGTGACCCTTTAATGTCCAAGCATCCATGGGCAGGCACTGGCTGCCATCCTGTTTCCCCATTGCCTCCTCGTGACTTGTGCCTCCTCCTCAGGGACCAGCTAGATGTCAGGGCCAGGAGAGGTGTTAGACCCTCTAGGAAAAGAAAGCAAAGCTGGCACGTTCTCTCTGAGATGACAAAACTCCCCATCCCCTGGTGATGTCATCATCCTATCCCGTTGTCCTGAAATGATGAATTCCACAAAGGAATTCCAATCCATGGCCCCTGCTTGGAACTAGACAGGAACATTCCTCCAGCCTCCTTCATCCTCCCCTTCCCCTACTCTGAGGAATCTTCTCACCTTTCATTAGACTCTAAGTTCCTTGGAGAGTCAGTACCCAAGTACAGTACTCACAGATCAGTACCCAAGAGTGCCGGCTTTTGAATCAGATATAATCTAGGTTAAAATCCTGAATCCACCCCCTAGGAGCTGAGTAATCTTGGGGCCATGATGCAGACCTGTATATCCTGCAACCATCTTGACATCTTCATTTGTGTGTGTGTGTGTATATATGTGTGTGTGTGTGTGTGTGTGTATATATATATATATATTTTTTTTTTTTTTTTTTTTTTTTTTTTGAG